AGCTGGATAAACGACTAAAATTTACTCATTCGTGGCATAAAACTACGGGGCTCGAATAATTTTACCCAAATTTAAGATTTGTTTCCGATTTGATGGGAGGGAAGAACCTACGGAAGATGAGAGAAAATTGTGTATGCTGTAATTCCAATTCGAGACATTCAATTTTCCTTCCAGTGACTGGAATTTTACGTTTGAAAAAAAATTGTGAAGCATTTCCGTGGGCTTACTCTCATGAGCGAATTAAAGGCTTCATCCACTGAGGAAATTGCATTAGTTCTTGCTAGAATTTTTTAGATTCATGTGCTTCTGAATGAAAAATGTATTGATTTTGACAAATTTATAATGTAAAACTTCAGGACTCTATCAACTGTACCCAAAATTTCCAATTTTCGATTTGAAGCGAAGGATATATAGGAGGATGGAAGGAATCCAAGAAACGTGCATAATTTCATTTTCATCCGCTGTTCACCTCTCGTTGACTTGAATTTCGTATTTTCGCAGAAATTTAAATGCTTTCGAGAACAAACAATGCAAACCAAAAGTACAGTATTCAACCATTTTTAGTTCAAGCAATGAAATTCAAGTTTTCCAACGCCTAACATGTTTCGCATGCTTCGTGAAAAATCCTGTAAAATTGCTCTGCTGCTTGAAAACCGAAATAGCAACATGATTATAATATTATAACTATGCTGTTATTGATATGCATTTTGAAAAAAAAAGACGTGGGAAACCGAAGTCACATTCGTTTCATCGAGTATGCTCATCCGTCACGCAGTCTGTTATCCGAAGCAGGGTCTGAAATCCGAAGCGTAAATTTGATTGCAGGACGGGTCCATTGTTCAAGACCTCTTTCTACTTCCTGTGGGTTCTTACACAGTACTCTGCTCACGGTGTCAATGAGCTGACCAAACCTCTGAAACATCCGTCTTTCTTTTCTCGCGTTGCTAAAGCGCCATTTGGCTGTTGAAAGCATCGTAAGTGGAATAAAATAATAATAATCACCCAGGTGGATTAAGCGGTGTGTGATTACCTGCTGCTGGGTTCCAGGGCTGCAGTTGGTTCTGACTGACTGGCGCAGTTCGGGGGTTGTTCTCTTTTTTTTTCTTCTTCTTCCCCCAGCAACCCCTAACGAGCCCCACACTTTTGCGGCAGCTAGCAGAAGATCGATACTGGCTCCCATGCAAGAACAGCCAGGGTCGCTGAGGGGAACTTCCTCTAGGTCAACGAGTTTCCAGTGCCTTTTGCTGCGCCCTCGTGCGGTGATGCGATTCGCTGGCTTTTGCCGATAATGTAGCTTTTTTTTTTATTTCTAATTTCTAGCATCGTCAGTCATGATTACGAAAGACTGGCCTATAGCGGTTAGAGTGATCTGCAAGAACATCCGTGAGAAACGAGACTTGTCTTTCCGCTTATTCTCGCGCAAAGTGATTTTTTTTTCCGTGTAGGAAGGGTTACACGTTTCCGCGCGGACTCGTGTCAGCGCGGACTTGAAATGATCTTAATGCCCGGGATTAAAAAAAAACATTTTTCTCATGTTCACTAGTTCCAAGAGGCTAGGCAGACACCTTCTGAATGTCATCACCAATAATTTGTACACAGTTTTCTTCCCTTTTAATCCATGAGTGGAAACTGGCTTTGAAACGTTCAATTGTTGAACTTCGAAGCTTCCCCGCAGAACAGCAGCAACAAGATGATCCGCGCGGAACCGTGTAAACCTTCTTAAAAGTGTTTTCGAATTGACTGCGACGAGGATGTCGAGTTTGATTTGCATTTTTCTAGCATTGAGGTGCTTGTTAAGTGAGAATTGCAGCTGTGACCACAACATGTAGGTTGTGAGTTTTTCTTTGGGTTTTAATTCTGGAAAGTGGCATATACATGGTGCAGGATATAAAATAAACCCACGAATCATGCAGCCACGATGATGTTCACTAGAACCAAGTCTCACTTCTTATGACGCACACTGAACTTCGTCGTCAAAAAAACAAGGCCGATTTTCAATAGCAATAAGTACCTCATGGACGGTTCGATTGCAGGAATATGAGCCATTTCTGGTATTTATTCTCGTATCGATTGCCTCATCCTGTTCATGTTCTGCGTATTTTCGTACTTGCTTTTTTAGTACAGTACCACGATCTATTTTCTGAGTGAAATGGCAGTGAAAGGCAGTACAGTATGCGGAAAAGGATGAAATGATGCCGTTTTTCACGATTGAGATATTTTATATATTTGTGACGAACCAGGGTCTTGAACCAAAAAATTGTTCTGAAATCGGAATGTGAAACTTTCGGAAAAACAGATTGAAAATCGTAACTGATATTTCTTCAGACCTGGTGGATGATTTCCATGACTTATTCTTTATGACTTATTTCCTCGTACCTCTTAGTTATTCGAGAGAAAAATGTACGGTGTTTGAAGAAGTATTCGCCGAAGTTTCTATGCTGCTGACTTTTAATCACGCTGACAATTACGACTCGACGTCACCACTCGAAGAATTTCCAAGGCAGTTTTCGTCATTTTAGAGTAGTTCCGCTTAATTCTCTTGCTTAGTTGAGAAGTAAAATAGGAAAAAGAAGGCTTCCAGCAAAATCTTGATACGCTTCGAAGATTCCAACGCTATTTTTGTTTTTGAAACGTAATCTGGAGAAGATGCCTCGAAAGATACCTACCTTATCCCCCAAAAATTTACGACGGATAACGTTTGCTATGAATTATCGCGTAGATGTCTTCTCCCTCTACTCCTTTGTTCTGCTTCTGCAATTTGTGTGTCGGCGAAGAGAGGAAGAAGTACTGCTTCAGCGTGGTCGTGTGTTTCAAGGTAAGGAAGGAGCAGGAAGCAAATTCCCCATACGAACAGACCCCTTCCATAGGAAGAGATCTTTTTTCCACTCGGAAATATCAGGGGGTATTTCTAAAGGGACTCTGAACCACCAACCAAAAACAATTCTTTCAGATAAGACCTGATGGTGATCTTTTTTTCTGTGGGAATATTCTTTTTATTTTATTGCAAAAATATTAAGCCGGGATACATTCGTATTCTAATTGGAGAAAAATCTAGTGCGGACTAACGTGGATGAACAAGCATTAATTTGAGCAGGAGTCGCATACTGTACTTTATTCCTTATTTGGCAGCAATCGGTTTGGGAGAGCATATTTTAGACTTTGCTTAATCGTCTTCAAGATTTTCAGCTGGAATATTCATCAGTTTAGTTATGTGCATAGCAAAAACATTTTCGGAAGCTTCCATTTTGAGAAGGCAAACAAGAGCATGAACGTCTCCTGCAGAAATCCTCTCGGCGAACGGAGGAGATTAAAGTTTAAGCATTTTCTCAGGTGCCGTGGTTCGTGTTAAGTGGGATGTAAGGAAGCTTCCATTTTGAGAAGGCAAACAAGAGCATGAACGTCTCCTGCAGAAATCCTCTCGGCGAACGGAGGAGATTAAAGTTTAAGCATTTTCTCAGGTGCCGTGGTTCGTGTTAAGTGGGATGTACTTTTATTCTAGAGCAAGAATAATCCTCAAGTAGCGGATAAAAAAAAAAAAGAAGTCCCTTGCCGTATTACTGGCCGCAAATTTCCCAGGATGGTGTGTTTAAAACTTGGATCTGACCTATACTCGATATTTATTCAAGTACTGTACAGTATTGGCGAAATATTTCGAACTGCAATTTTACAGTATTGCTAATGCTTGAGATGCTTGATATTTGCAATCAAATCAACCTTCCAGTCTGAAAATTAATTTGTTCTTACCTTCTCTTGAATTATTGCTAGTTCACCTTGTGTGTCCGTAACAGCAAGTAGATAAATTCATAGTTCTCTAAATTTTTGGACATTTCTCAGAAACTCAAAAATGGCAAAGTTTTCAATGTTTCCCGAGAGTACGAATCATTGACCATATTCAGTCTAATACAATAAATTGATGTGTTTGTTGCCTCATACAAAAATAATTTTAAGCATTAATTTTTTGCTCTAACTTTTTACGCGATTAACATGACAATTTTGTATATTTGTAATTTTTCGTATAGCAGTTTTACTATTGTAGCAGGATCTTTTCACGCAATATGGGGGACTCGTACTGTACAATGTATTGTATGTTTTATTTTACAGTGCTTAAAGAAAATCGGACTAGAAAAAATAATTATTTTTTTATCAACCCACGTCCCAAGTAGGAGATCCCCTTACTTGAAAATAAAGGTACTGTATACTTTTTTTTAGCTGTTCAGCATTTGCTTATTCGTCAAACACATATCGTGTTTTCTTACTTGCGCTGCTCTCAATTGTGTTCAGCTTACTGCGAAACTTTGTGTCTTGATGAATTCGAGCTATTTTTCTACTTGAAATTCAGCAGGTGTATAGACTGTGAATGACAAATGGTTACACAATAGTTTTTCACGGGACAGAATTCATATTGGAGATGATCAACCTATTGTGCATACCCTTTACATTTGTGCGGGAAGATGCGTCATATTCAAAGAAAACCTGTTACAACTGTTACAAAACCTGTTACCCGGAGAAAAGTGGGATCGAAAAAGTGGATTCATTCAGAATAAAGTAAAATACTCAATTAGCTGGGGCGTGTGCGATTTCAATATGAATCTTTTATGGTTAATCTGGTGGTGACGCATTCGAAAATATCATATAAAAATCCGGAGAAGGTTATCTTCGTAAATTAATACACGGTATCTGAAGGTAATCTATCTCGTCATAACTGCGATTGATTTTTTTAGTGCCATTTATTGATTATTTGGAGCAAAGTGAGGACGGGAGTAAAACAAGCATTGTCCAAACAGTAACCATAGAATGGCGAAGCATTTCAGGGAAGCATTTTACAGATGGCGTGCTCTTATCCTTTCACCAGTCTGCGACAAGTATTCGTGTCCAACTTCGATGACTATACGGCATTTTGTAGGTCATTTGCAAAACTTTTGGGAATCCCCCAGTGATTGCCGGGTTTCGTGGGGAGGGTTGTGTTGAGAAAAAGGAACCACACCTCGGCGAATGCATCGATGATGCACGACGACGCGCAGTACTCCTCGAGAAAACTGCCGGCCTTGAGTCGGTCCGCTGAATTATGGTCTGCGCCGTTTCGCGTTTTTCGCAATGACGTCCGCGTGTTGCTGGGGCACCCGACTATAGGTATATCTCTCTCCCTCTCCCCGCCATCCTTTCTTTATTTATTTCTTCGGTCCTTTTTTTTTTGCGAAAAAAGAAAGCTGCGAAGTCACGTCCGGGCTCTCTGCTTGCTTTGCCTGCTTCCTATTACCTTGGTTACATGTTTGTATTTTATTTTTATTATGGTGATTCAGTTTGCTTTGTTGACTCTGAAGCCACAACGAACCGATGAGGAATGGGGCGAGAAAAAAAAAAACAACAGGCGGACGCGTCTCGCGAAGAATCGATATTTTTGAAATCCCTTGTGCATTTTGAGTAACAGCAAAATGTTGTAGTATTTATTCAATAAAACTGTGAAAACCGTATTCAAAAGACTCTGGAAATTGTACATCGGGGTTCAAAGCCCAAAAATTGAGGGGAAGCTGACTCAAAGACTCTTCTAATATACCTTTCTCTTCTGATGGTGCTTCAGAATTTTTTTAATTTTGGAAATAATTGATTCAGTATCTTTTGAAACGAAGGTCTGAAGTAATATGCGTTCTTTATACGTATTTCCGCGACGAATTGCTTGTTGTTTTTATATACTATACTTTCTAAAATGTGTGATCTAAAAATTCTTTTCATCTTTTTAAAAACAGAATCCGAATTTTGTAGACTTTGAAGTTGTATTTAATGTATTAGATGAGTAACAGGTTTCATCACGTTATGCTTGCGGGCTTAAGCTTTCGATAAGCCGTTCCTTCGGAAAAAAGGAGTTCGGTTACTGCTACTGGTCATAATTATTGGAGAAAAACAGTGTGTCGATGATATCTGACAAATACTGTTGAAGCTGGAGAATGTTTCGTCAGATGATATGATAACGTCAAAACAAGAACACGGGTTGACGCCCATTTTTGGATTGTAGTCGTCGATTGTGATCATCGCGCGCGCTTTCTCACCTAAAACTTTATTTATCGCGAAATCTGTTCATTATTCCAAGTATTTTTCCAAGTTCAGGTTCAAAACCTGCGATAAAACATACAGAATTCGTGATTTATAATACAGAGTTGCGAAACATATTTTTTATGAGACTAAATATTGTCTTGTCTAGGGTTACCATACGGCCCTAAAGCGTTACATGTCCCACGATTTGAAGCTAGGAAGAGAATATCTTCGTTAAAATTACTTCAAAAAGTAGGAAAACGAAAAATCCACGACTGTAGGATGCCCAGAAATGCCATGGTGTAGAAGTGACCAAATTCATTGTTTTTTAAAGCTTCTGTCTAATGGAGGCAGATGTCCATACGAATTTTTTGCTGAATAAATTGAGAAAGCTTTGAAAATTGCTTGAAGCCATGATTCCCAAGAATGCCGAAACAGTTTACAGGATTCTATACAAATTCCATACAGAAACTAATCTACCCTCTGTAGTACAACCGTATATACTGAATACGAAATAAAACTTCATACAATATCAGAGAAAACTTTAAAATATTTTATGTTCAATTGTTAATACCAGTGACACCCACTCAACTGAACCTGAAACCATTTTTCCTCGCAATGGAAGACTGGGGGAAGTCATCATATATAGACTAAATTTCCTGACACAGCACTGACGCGCTGTGCAAGTACATTCATTTCAACTTGTGAAAATAATATAAATTATTATCCCTGTGATCCAACATTTTTGGACTCCCTGAACTCGGCTTTTGAATGAGGAATATGCCCTGATGACTCATGCCTGGTTTTCCTTTTCCCTTTCGACAGGTTGTTGGAAAAGTTCGTACAACACCGGTTGTGACGTGGCGGCATGCGAGACGCATCATCGGTCGCCGCGACACTTTGGTCTGACGACGTACTTCTGCTGCTGTGAAGGCCCGCTGTGCAATGTGAACGCGACGTACAGGCCGCTGGTGGCGTCGGCCGGCGGCGACATCACCGCCACTACCGGCTTCATCGCGCCCGACGTCGCCCAGCCCCGTGTAGGCATCACCGCCGCCAGAGGTCAGTCCATCTCTGCCATAATCCATTTACTGTACCATGCAGTGGGACCCCGACACACGGACGATTCAATTCAAGGACACTTTTTAAATATTTGTAAAAAATTCTGTCCCGACTGCCAAGCAGGGTTTTCAGAAACGGACGCTTTGCCAACATATCCAAAAAAAGTGGAAAAACATTATTTTTTTTAAGCGTGATATCTCGTGAAAAAATTGAGCTATTTCTCTTCACAAAAATAGAAAAAAATATTGATTTTGAAATCACACTAATTCGTAATCAAAAGCAGGCTAATCGTGTGCTTCTTTTTCAGATTTTTTCCCATCATGTATGCACAGTACAGCTGAACTTGTGCGTTTTCTTAGCTTCTTCAGCTCCTTCTAATGCCAAATAAGATAAGATTCTCCGTGGCATTCTTCCGCACAATTATTTTCTGTATCTTGAAGTCGAGAAAATTTTATTAAATTGTTGGGGACTTTACTTCGAAGTTTTAATGAAACGAGAATAACTTAAATATGTTCCCATTGAAGTCAATCGGAAAAAAGGTGACTCAACATGCTCCGACATAGGGTCGAGGTCCCAGCACCAATTATGTCCGCATGTCGGGGCCCCACTGTATTTGCGTGGGAAAAAACTGAAGTTGTGCCACAAACAACGAAAATATTTAGTTAAATTCCGACTGAAGAGAAGAACAAATAGGGGTAATATTTTTTGAATTGCGTGCATGAATCTTTAATCGCTCGAGTGTACGAATCTAAAATCAATGCTGGGAAAATTTTGGAACGACTTTCTCCTCTTCTTTGGGCATTTCTACGTGGGCCACTAAACACTAGCAGAAGATGGTTCTTATTGCGAAGTGATGAAATATGGGGGCTCACAGGCTGACTCTGCGCGTTCAATGAACCTATAATAGACTACGGCCTCGTCGTGTTATAGAAGGAAATAAAAATAATGCATGTGCGAGTACAGTATACACAGTTGGATGGGCTCTGGGGTTTCGTGGGGAACCCAAGCAGCCAAGCCCACCTTACAAACGACCCGCAAGACACCTAGAGTACATAGTGACTCGGGAAAGGAATACCGGGTACAGAAATACTTTATCGCCAGCTGGGTGTTTCCTCTCATTCCCTTTCCGTGTTCAAGTTATTTCCGTTGGTACGGGTGATTTGAATTTACAGCATCTTTGAAATATATGTACACCTGGCTAGCCTTCCCTGGCTGCATTCTTGTTACGACGTTTTCTTCGTTTCGAATTGAAAGTAGGAAAAATAATGATGAGAAAACTTGAGCAATAAATGGAGATCTCCATGTGTTCTTTTTTTTTAAAGGGAGTAATCCCAGTTATATTTCTTTGCATGTGTGAGAAAATTAAGTTAGGTAATGGTCAGAAAGTTGGTTGAAATTGAAAATGTCGAGTCGAAGTTTGATCGACGAGTTTTTCTTTTGAATTTCTTCATCCAACCCGGTACAGTACTGTACTTCATATTTTCCGCCTCAGGCGTTTTACAGGAAAAAAATCCTCGCGGATATTAGGTCATCTTGCGGAATGTGAAACAATTATGTCTTCCGGAAGTTTTTGGAAGATATTCGCATTTTTTAGAACATTTTCAATTTCGGCTTCCCGGGTACATTTTACATGTTAAACCTGGAATGATTCTTTTGATGATACTGTTACGAAGCTCAGATTAAAAAGACACTTCCTTTTTGTTTTGAAGAATTGAGGAACATCCCGATGTTTCGCAATCAGGGAACGTTCCAGTATCGAAATCTTGATCCACGAATCAGACTTCACCATATCACAGTTTCCAGTATTTTAATGAGACACAAGCTAAAAAATAAATATGACGAAGATGGAAGTTGGAAAACATGGAATATTGCACTTGATCGGCCTTCATCAGAGAAGATCATGGTGCATAGAAAGCTGCATTTTGTTTATGAAACAAGGAGATCAGAATTTGGTCAAATGTGATCGCTTGACCGAAGTTTCTTTCAAAATACAGTATTCAAGTAGTTCATCTTGATCCCTGGAATTTTTCTCAATACGTCGTGTAGAAGAACAAACTGTCGAAGACGAGGTAGAAATGAGAAAGCAAGCTCTCTTAGAGCGATTACGTCTATTTTCTACATACATATTTTCCAGACAGTCCATATTTTTTGTTTGTCCCTGCAGACCAAAATTTAATGCTGATGCAACTCCTTTGCAACGAAATTCCCTGTGTGCTTCATTTTTCTTGCGTCCCCTGAGTATCTTTACGCGAGTCGCCCGTATTTCCCAACGTGAACCGCTAAACAAATCGCTGAGAGTCTCAGCCTTCATCTTTGTGCTTGGATTTCGTCACGCAAAAATAATAAGGTCACGCTTGGGAGCAATTTGCCGAGCATGACAAGGACATCCTGCGCAAGCGTGAACTGCGCTGGTTCGTGACACAGAGCAGAAGTACCGAAAAGTACGGCGATCTGTCGTGTAATCAATTTCGAATGAACGTGCACTCCGACCCGAAGCGTCCTTGGGTCCCGAAATGCACTCGTACAATGACGAGCGTCGCACGAACCGATTTTGCCAGCCTGCCAATTTTGAGCTCGGGTCGTCTGATGTGGCAAAATTATGCGATGGAAAATTATTTTTATTTTTTTGTTATTTCTTTTTTTATCATTTATCGTCGACCGTTTTCGAAAAAACCTCAATTCCTTCAGCCTGGAGTTCTTCATTGAAAGAAAAGGAACTTTGCGGGAAAGCTGAACGTGGTAATTACTGGAGACAAAAGCCGCGAATCGCGGGACGAGCGAAGCCCCTTTTTTCTTTGTTTTCAAATGTTTTATAAATTAGAACGCTGATGGAAAACTCATTTCACCAGGAAAATTGATGGCTGGTATGGGAACTGAGGCGTGTAATTGAACGAGGCTTTTTGCGAAAATACCTTCGAATTGGGCGTCGACTTGATTCTTCCATTTTCTGAAAATTGTTTTTCGATTTTCGGTCCGCCTGGTTTATCACTAGAAATAAATATGAAGCTTTCCTGCCTCTTCCATTATATTTTCTTCGATTTTAATCTTCCCCGCTATGTTGTGGTTTCTGCTTCAAGTACCTTAATCACTGCCAGCGTGAAATAAGTGTGTCTTTTAATGTTGGAAACTTCCTTTATGTTTTTATTTCGAATTTTATGTCAAGATGCGAGAGTCTCATCAAAAATATGAAGCAGACTTTTGTTTTTAATCATGCACCCCTTTGAAGAGATGTGAAAATAGTGTACGAACATATTTTTGCGTAAAAGTACGGTCTTCTTTTTTTAAGCTGGTCCGTGCTTGATTCTCTGTGGCGTTTTGAATGATATGAGAAACTATGATATTTTGTTTAAAAACAAGCTTTCTTTAGATGGAGCAGATTTTTCAAAAAGATACCGTCATGGCTACAAGGATCTAATCGGAATAAATTTAAAATCGAATACTGTACATTTAGGATATTTTACTATCAACGGAAGTTATTGAATAAGCTTGACGAACTTTTCCACGGATATTTCACAAAATTCAAAAATTAACCAATGGAAAAAGCCAATAAAAACCGAATTCCGTGCTGGGCTGACGGTTTTGCTTCGACTTTCTCACTTCAAGTTGAGAAGTTTTTTGGTAAGGGAAATTAACTGACTCGGGAAGTTTCAAACGTTGTTTTTTTTCCACAAACTCGAAAATGTATTTCAGGAGTAAAAATGACATATCCAGACTGAACTGTCCGGAATAAATTAATGATGGTTCACTTTCAACCAGGATATAAAGAAAAGTAAACGGCATACGTTTTGCAGGTTAACTTCTCCGATATTCTTTTCTCTGGTGTTCTTGATATGAGTTCATTCCCTGCGGTAAATTATTAAACGTGATTCACGGTACTTCGGTACTTTGCGTATGATCTGCAATTATAATTTCCCAGCCGGATACTGTGTAGGGCCTGTATATTCATGTGGAAGTGTATTATGAGTTGCCTGGCTGTCCGCATTTCTCTTGTTACTTTCATCAATGCGGTACGAGCCAAAATAGTAGATCTAATGATACTGTAGTTGAAAATTTCCGGGAAACTCTCAGAAACCCTGAAATGTCCCTCTGAAGGATGAAAATGGGATGTTTGGTTTTCTTCTTGAGAATAATTTTGAATCACCCGAATTCTGGGAAAATACCCGTGGAAGAGGGCCCACGGCAAAGTTTTACTTGAGGTTTTTACCAACTGCATGGCCATGCTCGTCATATTTATGCAACTGAAGATACAGAATGCGGCGTCATTCAAAAGAAGCTTTCAAAAACTTCAGTGTGACAATTTCGTTCATCTCGATAACTATAGTCCTTCAGAATGTTACGTTTTTCTTAAATCGAAGTGATTTTCTTGATCTACATGTGTAAAAAAAATAGTGTATTTCAGTACAGTTTTTGATGAATTTGCAAACACAATTAAGCTTTAAAAAACATGGCATGAAAACTCGCGTCTTTCTTTTTCTATTTTTCATGGACTCAATAATTTCAGAAGTTGATAGCGGATATTTTTCGGCTTTGAAATTTGCAATATCTTATATATTTTAAACCTTGATTTTGGGATTCACCGAGCGTCCAAGAGAAAATAAGAATACAGTAATGGAAACTAAGTTTCAGATACAAATATGCTCAAATTTATTGAATGCATCACGAAGGAGATTCTAGAGGAATAAAAAATACAATTTGAAGGTACCCCGGTTATAATTTACGATTTTCGGTAGCTTCGGGAGTCTACGAGATATGAGAGGCACCGTCCCTAATTTTTTTGAATAAATTTGGGTTTAATTTCAGTTGAAAGAGCGAGTCAAATCAAATTATCACGCCCTTTCGAGACTCGTCGGTGCCATGTTATGTCGAAATTAAAGAACTTGTCTGGATGAACAACCGGTGCATTTGATGATGGAAACCCACTCTCAGCCGACCAATTATGAACATGAGTGAAATTCTTCAAGTCTTCAATTTTGTTGCATCATTTATTTTCTGACACATGTTCAATTAAAGAATGATAAAAGCAGCGCAGTGCATTGCAATGCAGTAAAATCTCCTTACAACGAAGCCGATATACAAAAGCTCCGTTGTAAAAAAATCGTTTTAAAGGGGAATCTTTCAACATCGTGGCTATTGGGCAGATACCTAAAAACGACTCCGTTGTAATCGATATTTTTTAAATGACATTCGTTGTAACGAGATTTCACTGTATCTCCATTTGTGAAACGAGTTCACGATCGAGCCTCAAAACTTTTGAATCACCCCATCCCAGACGACGACGATGAGTAGTTCCGTCGCCATGCGTCGGTGTGCGTGGCGCGTTGGCCGCAAATGTCGGGGATAATGACCGCGTAATCACGGATAATGCCTCATCCGAAGCTAGCGTGCCAATAATCTGCACCATCAAAGCCCCCCCCCCCTCCCTCCCCCACACTTTTCACATTTTTTGACGGCCGCGTTTATTTCTCTCTTTCTCTCTCTATCTCTTTTCCAAGTCAACTGTTTCCCCGCAGAGTCTTGCATTCAGGAAACAGGTTCTTTTCCGATTTTATTTCTTCTTACGCCGTTTGGGGAAACGAGGAAGGAATCACATGCTCCTTTCTTTTCGGCGCTCTGTCATGTGAACCGCAATGCTCATCAATCATGGCATCTTCTGGCCTTGGCATCCCAGCAGAATAATTTACTTTCCCGTTCTAGAACTGAAGCAACGTCCCCCCCCCCCCTGCATTTTTCCGCTTCGCCTTTCGCGAACTTCATTTTCAAACAAAATGTATCTATCTTTTTCACTCTCTGACAGTAGTCTCAATTATTGCGAGGCAGATACATCGAGAAAATTCACGCTTCATGGACTACATTTCTCTCCAGAATTTGAATGACTGTATAGAGCAAAAAATATAGAGTACCTCATGGGAGTACTTGCAGTGGTGAAAGATGAAATGCAGACGTATGAAAAAAAGAAGTTCAAGACTAAGATCATGTGAAGATGTACACAAAATGATGCATCAGTTTTGTGGGTCATGAACTTGATGTCAATGTGGATGATCTCTTTTGTTCATTATTTGAGTTTCTTCTTTCATTTGATTATACAAAAATTCAGAAACAAAATGAGGTTCTTGAAAATTGTATGTTCTTGATAGAAGGTCAGCTGAGAGCGTGTGTGCATCAAATTTGATGAATTTTTCCTTCGTTTAAATTTTTCGACTCGACAAAAACCAAATCTGAGGAGCACCGAAGTGTCTCTGAAGTGTGAGGAATGTGACTGCACTTCTTATTCATATATAAATAATTGGTAAACCGTTAAAATCAATGTAAAAAATTAATCACCCTGCCTTATATTTTCTATGAATGTCAAGCTTTAAAAATCCAGAATTTTGATACAGATAGTTTTTAAATGCCCGTATTGCAATATGTTATTCCCTCGGAATTTCCTTTGCGATGTCTTGAATAAATTTTGGAGCAATAAAACGCTTGCTAATATGGAGCAATTATAGCAGAAATAACCAGGAAAGCAATGATGAAAAAAATCAACTGAGAAATTACCCTAGCAGCTGGGAAGTACTGTAACTTTAATTTCTTGGAAAGGCGCTTTTTTTTAGAAAAGCGTGGCCTGTCAAATTACTAATTTCATTATTATCCAATGAATATTCAAAAAAATTAACTACAGTACACAAAACATATTTTGGAATTGAGGCGCGATGAGAGCCGTGTTTAAAGAAAAGTTTCTCGAAGGTAGGAAGAAGTCGATACAGTGCCATTGAAACAAGATTTTGATTGCAGATTTCGCATAATGAATACTTTAAGAATACAGGCTTCATTAAAAGGAATTTTGATTCAAGATTATAGTAAAGAGGCTTCTTGAGCCGGACGAGATGAGAATTTAAAAATTCCGTTCTGATCTTGACCAACAGTGCGACGATGGAAAAATCCCTGCACTTTGATTTAGGTCCTTGAGAGGTACTATATGATGACTGTAATTCTGAAAGCTCTTTCAGAAGTCCAAAAGCATTAATCAGTATTCCATTATCTTTAATATCACTATCCAAGGGCATACAGTATGTTAGCATCAAGGTTTTTTTCATGCTGAAATGTGAGCAAGGCTTAATTCCATGACAAGCATGTGATACATGTAACGTTTTAATAGTTTCGAAACGTGTTCAAAGTTTTCTGATCCGCTAATTTCTTAAGCTGGTGGTTTTTGGCAGAATTTCTGTGCATGTTTCTAATGTACAGTACTCGTATGCTGAATTTTAGACATTTAGCCATAAGAGGACTATTTTCCGTACATGGACATGACCTGTTATTTCATGATAAATTGACAAGTAAAATCTTTTTTTTATAGAAAGCCTCTTTCTCTTTCTTTCTTAATTTTTCCTCCATTCTTACGACGTACAAATCCCTTACCTAAATTTGCACGCTTCCTCAGTAGAACTTTCTTGACTATGACAAAAACAAGATGTCAAAGTACCTTCGCATTTTGTAATTTATTTTCCCTTATGTTGTTGGTCATAATTTTCGCTGCCCTTTTTGAAAGAAAAATGTGTTAGCATTCAAGCAAAAGATCCCAAGGCTCTCTCTGTCTCTTATTCAAAATAATATTCGATGTGTGTATAAATTTTTTCATTCCCTCCTTTATAATCGTAAAGTTGCCATCAGTCGAATGATGTCACGGAATCACCGAATGCTGGTTTCCTCTTCTAGGTCAAATAAGCTTCAAAACTTTACATATCCTTGAAGTACGGCGAGTGAGGGTACTGGTTTTTGCTTGTGGCAGTTAAATCGCTGGAATTACCACTGGTAGTTTGGATGGTACTTGAGGACAACAAAAAACAGTCGGGTATCATCGACATAGCCTTCTAATGCGATAAGTATTTTTTGAGACTCGCATTTCAGCAATTTTCGCCCTCGTTTGAAACTGCGGGAAAACACGTAGGGGGGAAAAAGGAGTTCGTGCGTGCGTTGAAAAAGAGGGTGCGGAAAAGTACTTTTCACACAATCGCACGGAAATAGCCGGGCTGGTTGCATCATTACTCCTCAGTCCGTGATTGTGTCCGGTGCAATTACCCTGCGCGGGTTGTCAAGCCGTCATTAGACCACGACGAAACCCCAGCAAAAAAATAAATAAAAAAAGTAAAAGCGTAAGTATGTGATTAAGTTGACGCGAAAAGTCCGCGAGCGTCTCGTCGTCGGTACTTGGTGGACTCTCGTGCTGGTACTTGTTGCTGGGCCCCTGCGGCGAGTCGCCGGGTTCATGTCGGTGGAACAAAACCCTGACTGCGTGGATGACCGATTCGACCCGGTGGGCTTTAGCCTCGAATTAATTGCTTGACAACTCGCGGAAGGATGCATGGGCTGTATTATATACTGACTTACCAGGACTACAAAATGTATCGCGTGATTTCGCAAAAAAAAATAATGCTAATAATGCATCCCTCTCTACAGTTTTGAAAAGCTTGATGAGAATTCAATCCGCATCCCTACGGCATTTTCAATTACCGTTGAACTACCGCAAGCACTTCAATGGTATGCAGTACTTATTCCATGTTGCACAATAAAGTACTGTACTTCATCCTGATGCTACACCGAGACTCGAATCAAGGTTATTGCAGCTTCTGTTGATTAAATTGCTCACGTTTCATTTGCAGTTTGTACAAATTGACTGGAAGCTGAAGGTTCATTATCGTAAATATCAAAAGAACGGCGGATAGTAAAAAGACGTACAACGCCTTGGAAATTGCAAAGACGCACGAGTGTGATAAGAACTTCCAAGCATTAGCGTACAGCAGAACCGATTCAATTATTTTTACTCGAGGATATATTTCCTCATTCACTTTAATCAATGAAGTTTTTTTCCTATATGTAGCGAAGTGAAGTTGAATGAAACGCACAGAATTATTTTTTTCGAAAATGCTGATTAAAGATGCAAATACCGACGCTAAAGAAAAAAGTTTCAACGGAATCACCTCCTCATTTTCAGTTGGAATGATAATTTTACAGAAACGAATTTTATCACCTACCTTGGTGGTGTTGGAATCAGGAAACTTTCAAGATATATTTATTAATTCACCATATTATTTTAATGGTTTTTTTTATATGCCGAAGTGAAGTTGAACAAAGGGCGCGGAAAAATAATTTTCGAAAAAGTATTTCTGCTGAATCACCTCATTTCCAGACAGAATGATCTTTTTTCCGGAAAGAACGAATTTTTTTTCCTTCCTTGGAGCACATTAAATCAGAAGCTGTTACTCAATTTTGAAATCTCCAAACCGAGAAAGTCAATTGATCATGTTTTTTAATCCTGAACATGCACGAAAAGGGCTTCAGAAAAATTTTTGAGTTGAGCGTTTATCTGACTGTATACAGTATTTTCTATCTCAGACACAAGATGACAACTGAAACATAAAGGGTTGATTTTATAATGGAAGATCAAGTATGAAACGAGGAAGTCCACGAAAAACTATTGTCATAATTCCGGGTTTGCTTGTTCGGTAAAGTCAATTCTTGTTAGGCATTTATTGTTGAAAACAGTAGGTCTGAGTCTGAATAGCTTTAAAAAAATTTCCGGCTTGAATTGAGTATGGTAGGTGTACGATTTATATTAGCCTGGGTTATTTATGTTCAGTAAATTTTTTCATGTTAGGTTGTGTTATTTTGCTACATTTTCTATTTTTTTTGGTACATATACTAAATGTGGTACGCAGTTGGTCATTTCTTTTTTAAATCAATTTTTGTTTTGTTTTATACAAAGTGAACTAGTAAGAGTGGGAACGATGAAAAACCTTCTCAAGGACTGAAAAAGACAACGTAAGCGATCCTTTTATTTGAAGCATAAAATCAAATGTCTTTGAAACAAAAAATCTTGTTTCCTTAGTGACACTAATTTTATTTTTTTTGCTGGGGTACCTCAGTACTGATGAAATGGACAGCTTCCTTGCTCTCCCAGCCCGATTCTTATGAGGTATATATTTTCAAATCCAGTTTTATTTGCAAAAAAAAATATATATTTTAGCTGCAGTACTTTTTGCTGAACCATTAAGGACCCCCCGGCGGGCTGATTTGTCGCGGGGGGGAGGTTGGGGGGCACTTCGTCTTGATTGCTCCCATCAATCCCGGCGCTGAATCGTGGGCTCGTGATGAACACTAATCGCGCGAGCCCGAGCGCGTGGCTTGGATATGCCAGTCCTGCTTCTCCCTTTTATCTATTTATTTATTTTCAATTTTTTTAAATCCTGGTTCCACCACCAGCACCACCACCACCCAGGAGCCAAAGCGACGAGTAAAGCTGTGACGAAGCAGTACGTAGAGAAGGTAAGGCGACAGCCCGAAAAAAGAGCTTGCCTATAACGTCTGTTAGCGCCAAGGACTGGCCAAAACACCTTGCGCCTTAAATTCCAGACAAAAACCAGAGATATACAGTATGTGCAGCATAGTACAGTACTCGAATCGTCGGTTGTTAAGCCATTTAACTTCTTTTTTTGTGGCGAGAAATGGTTTTAAAGAAATTAGAGTGGGTCAGATATTCGGTGGCGCTTGGCAATTAATATTGTCATATTACAGTACAGAATTGCTTCTGCCCAAGAAAATCGAATGAATGAAGATCGCGTCTGAAATTTGGTCGAACAAGAAACTCCGTCCACTTTTGCTCAAGAGAGCAAGATTTAGAGTCCCAATTTCTGTAGGAAGGAATCGAGAATATAAAATTAAATCAAGCAGAGTCAACTAAATGCTCTGTGATATGGGCTTAAATGTAATGAGATGTATATTATATTTGCGGGAAAACTAGTCAAAGATTTGTGAAACAAGAACTGAAATGTGCTTCATAGAATTGATGGCGTCTGAAATTGTGTAGGGAATCAAGTAACTGTATTTACTCAAGTATCCACCACTCGCTCTTTTTTTATCTTAAAAGAAAGGCGGTTTCGTTTCACAAAATTTGAATGCGCGTTGATGAGAATTCATTCCTGATTTCCAGTGAGAAAATCATGCTGCTACTTATGCAGTAATCTGAAGAGAGTTAATTATGATCGCTTCAGTTGAAATTGAGAATAATTAAATTTTTCGATTAAAAACGAATAATTTGAAAAACCCGTACCTGGGAAAAGCATTTTTGCTCAAGCTGGTTTTTTGCGCTCAGGTAATGGTCATCCGAAAATGTAAAATTATAGATTCACAGTTTATATGTTAAAGTTTGACGTCGATCAAATTGTGGTATTCAAAATTTTTAAAAAGTTATTTTAAATCATTCGTTGGATCGAAAAAGTTCTTCGATGCCCAGTTGACAACTAAATTCTTCTTACGTAAAAAATTCAGTACGATTTCCATGATGTACATTATTCAAATTATATCTAACGCCGGATGAAGTTATGCATGAAATCAGATTCAAAAATTCATGAAGGAATTCCACGAGACGCGAGTCTTGAACTTGCTGCTTCCGACTCATGTTCAATAGGCGAACCTTCGCAGTTCCGAAGGTCGGAAAAACAACTACCTTGGCTTTCGATGGGTTCGAAAGAAAGTAGGCGTAATTTGCGACGAAAGTGCTACAATTAATCTGTGACGGCATCTTTTGCCAGATACGAGTATATTTCTCTGTATAATGGCGTAGTAAGACCGTCTCGGCAGATTGAATGGCGCTTGATCTTGACAAAATCGCACATTAATTTTGATTCACGGTAGATCCCATATTTATGTGAAAAAAGATAGGATCTCTTCGATGTGAATGTCTTTGAAGAATAAAAGTGGCTGGAAACTTATTAATTTGCCAGGTGTTGGCTGTGATCGTTCTTGTATTTTATCTGATTAAGGCCGTGAACGAATTCAACCGGTTGAAATGTTGTACCTTTTTGAAGTACGAAGAATTGAATGGGTTCATTCGCCTTCGAAGTACTGCACATATTTCTAAAACTCGAGAAATTACTCAGTAAAGTGAATTACTGAGAAAGCTTTGCAATTTTGTTCGGTGAGTCCATTAAAAAATTGCTTCATGATTTTGTTTGACAAATCACCGACCAGGGCGATTTCTCTCCGAAATATTACCTGCGAACGAAATCAATTTACCAAACGACCGTTTTACAAGCAAAAAACGTCGGAAGTTCCGAAAAACCCTCTAGGTGTATTAAACTACCTTTTCTATTGACGTGAGAAGTACTAATTAAGTACCCCCTTGAACTTAGGCCTTCTCTAGGTTCCCTAAATCCTGGATTTTTGAATTTTCTGCTGCCCAAACCGAGGCCTCCAAGTTGTCTTGAGCAGTGTTCCATGAAATATAGGCCATGGTAACTTCAAAAAATTCCCTTGCCCCAATTTCTTTTACGCAAAAAATATCTCCGTCGTCCGCCCGTTGACACGGTCAGAATTCGACGGAATGTCCGACACGAGCGACCCAGTAGAAGACCAATGAGCTCCCTTCCATGTATTCAAGACTCTAGGCCTCCTAACTGGGTGACATAGTCCAAGAGAACGGCAGTGGTCTCTAACACCGCCAACAAAGTTAATAAGTAGTTACGTTCGATATGTTGAAACCCATCTTTTGGCCCCACCAGCTTATTAAAAAATATTTAGAAGACTTTTTAAGGTACCCATTGAATGTATCCTCGCTGAAGGAAGCAGAATTTCTATTGAACAGCGCTGTCATTCATAAGAATTATGTAAATTAACGAGATAGTAATGTTAATTAATGTTTTTCACATTCGAAATATATCTTTTTAAAAAATATATGCATTAGACTAAAGGTCCGTGTGAAAATATAAGCCGCGGACGGGTGATCAAGCAGCTATACAACGAATTGTAGACAATTATATTGTCTCAAAAACTGATTATTTTTGTTGGCAAAAGTTTTCATACGCATTTCAAGATCTTTAAAATGCTGGTCAAAAGAATAAAAATCTGGAGGTTGCAAGCTGATTGATTGTATTGTTCGGAACTTCGAATTTTGGTTATAACCATTAAAATCAGTTGCCTCAAATCAGGCAGATTTTTGAGAATCTTACGTAAGCATTATTTTCGTCAGTGTGGCCTATGCACAGATGTTTCGAGAATAGACCAGACCATCGTATTAAAAGTTTTTATAAAGAAAAGTCTTTTTCACTCCGGATATCAGCTAACATACGCTATAAATAAGTTTAATTACTTGGCTTGAAAACTTTATAGGGAGCAAGCGACAAACTGGAACTGATGAGGGATCAGCACGGGTCGGGGGTATTCGGAGGCTTTGCCGTTTCCAGATACGAGATTCTCAACTTTTGCATCTAGAATAAGTTTGCCGGCAAATTATTCCTTCTTCTGAAATCTCGGGAAGAGGAACATAATTCCTGAAGTTGAACTTCGTTC